AAGTTTTGCAAATGAAGAGTTTTATAAAATTTTGGTTGTAATATTAAACTCGTTTTATTATGTAAAACTTAAAGTTGTTATCTATTAATTGTTGCTGTGASACGCTTGCCTGTTGCATCTTGCGTTTCCGCTTTAGCGGGGTGTGACACATGTGAACGATATATACACCATATGAACATTGGTGACTACATATACGTTAAAGATAGAACATCCRAATTTCTTATCATATTAAAATAACAAGTCATCTATAATTTGGAAAAAAAATAAACATGTTATTTTAGCTATAATCATGAGATTGATATTTTTATAACCATCCATTAATAAATGTGAAGTTAAGACTAAAAAAGAAAGATTATCATTGTGTCTTCAATATGAATTGTATGGTGATAGAAGAACCTAATTTAATAAAGACTTGTGATGTGATAACCTGAGGTAATTAATACGTGATTAACTGTTAAATGGTTACGTGATAAGCATAATAAATTGTTATATTTGATCATGCTAGTATAAGAATTTTATGCATCGAAATTATATGCATAATGTGAAATGTATATAGTGTATATATATATATATGCATAATTATGTATTTTATATATATATATATTGGAAATGCATGCATGAGGTGTATGCATGGATGAATATAGTATGTGGAATGCATGCATGAGGGACTGATTAGAAGCCGACTTTCCTATTAAGGAAAGTATAAAAAGAGGGTGAAGTTCATTTGTGAACTTCTTGCCATTTTGAGAGCTAGTGAGCGATTTAAAGAAAGTAGAGTTGATCGGATTGCTTGCTAACTGAATTTCTAGAAGATTATCAAAAGTATTTCAAAGGTGAGTGGTTAAAATGTTTTTGAATCTCTTTGAATTGTATATTGATTGTGTTTAAAAGCTTTTTATCCGATTTAAGTTTAAGTTCTAATCGGATGAGTGATTGGGCGGTTTAAGCTTAAATCGGACAAGGTATGAGCAGTTTAGGGTTAAATCGCCTGATACATTAACCGGTGTACTCTTAACCGGACAAGGTGTTGAGCGATTTAAATATAATCCACCTGATGTGTTGACCGGATTAGAATAAACCAGACAAGTGTTGAGCGATTTATGAACCTTGAAATTATGTTGTGTTTTGAACGGAGAAGTATGAATACCACCAAGAGGTGTCCGGATTGTTAAATCGGACAAAGCCTGTAAGGGTTGTCCGGATTGTTAAATCGGACAAAGCCTCTAAGTGTTGTCCGGATTGTTAAATTGGATAGGATATAGCGTGTTGATCAGATTTGGTAAATCGGCTAAGTCTTGACCGAAGATGAAGTCCGGCCAAGTCTATGTTGAGCGGATTTACACTTTGACTTATGTAATGATTATATAGTTTGTTAGTTTTATCATTTTTATACAAAATGGGAATTTTTGATAAAAATGATTTTGAACTAATAATATTCCATAGACTGCGGTCTGATCTATATAGAATTGTTTTGTGAAATATTTTGATGAGGAAATAAGGGTGACATATTAAGGAGAGGTGTACCATGGGATAAGGGTAGCATATCAAGGAGATGTGTACCATGGGATAAAGGTGGCATATCAAGAAGAGATGTACCTTTGGATATAATTGTGACATTTGTATGTGTGTTATGTGATATAACTCTTAGTATTATATCCTTTAAGATTATCGTGGTCTGGAATATTTATTTATTTGTGATTTAAAGGTTTAGGATCATGGTTCTTACATATGATATAACTCTTACTATTATATATATATACTAGGTTCGAACCCGTGTATTACATGGGCTATTTTACAAGAATTAAATGAAAGTAGTATGCATTTTATAAAGAATTAATAATAAGATGAGTAAATATTAAGAACTTGTAAAACATAATATATAATAAAACGTAAAAAAATTATGCAAAATAAGTAGCTAAAATATTAATAAAATAACAACCACGTATCATAAATTACTAAATACTTCTTTATATACAACAATCTTTGTTCTATTGCTAATAATAATATCATCATCTATAATTAATACTTTTAAATCTTGCCTGCTTTTAACTCTAGATAAAGCAACATATAGCTAACCATGGATGAAGACCGATTGTCTTAGAAATAAATCAACCTTTCGATAATGATTGTCCTTGGCTTTTATTTATGGTCATGGCAAAACATACATCAACTGGAAATTGTCTCCTTTGAAATTTGAATGAAATCTTTTTGTCTGCAGGTGTCAAAGAGATTCTTGGAATAAATGTCCGGCTTCCAATATTGCTTCCAGATATAATCTCTGCTTATATAACCTGATTTCTAAAGATAACACTCGTAGTCTAGTTCCATTACATAATCCAGATTTCTGATCAATATTCCTAAGTAACATGATTGGAACACCGACTTTTAGTAATATCTTATGATTTGGTAAACGTGGTAAGTTAAGACCATTTAAGACATCAGGAGAGTACAAAGTTTTATCAAACTGGTCGTGAAGTTGCTCTGATTCACATAGGCTATCTAAACATAAGTACTCTTTTTCGTCTTCTGCGAACAATGATAGCAAACGGTCATTTATTTCTTGAACGACTTCATGTTTTGGTGCAAGAATTTCCCTTTCCTGAAAATAAGATGAATTCTTGATGTTTACAAGAATTGAAGGATACACAAATTGAATTAATGTAGATATATGATCCATTGAATCGGTAATGAGAAGATCATGAGGTATATCAACAATTGCCTCACCATCATTATCACTACCAACCTTGCCTTCTCCTAAGTCCAAAATTCAGTTTGCAAAAACCTTTTTCTATTCAATTTCAGAAGATTGACTGTCAACAGTTAACCTCATGTTCTCAGTTAACCTTAGGACTTTGCATTTTTCCCAAATGTAAGATGAACTTAACGACGCATTAAAAATGTCTTTTCTACTTGCGTTGGGAATAACCTGTAGAATTTGTTTGAAATCTCCTTCAAAAACAACTACCTTGCCACCAAAAAGCATTTGTGAGTCATTAATGCATCGACTATTGAAAATATCGTTCATACTTCTATCCAATGCTTCAAATGCATGCATATGAACCAATGGTGCCTCATCCTATATAATCAAAGTAGTCTTTTTTATTAACTTCGCAACATCACTGTCTGGCTTTATGTGACGAAGAGAATCTTCATTAATAATTAGAGGGATTTGAAAGTGAGAGTGTGGTGTCCTGCCACCTATAAGAAGTAAAAAAGCAATACCACTGAAAGCGATGTTTAAATCAATTTCTCCTTTAGATATTATTGATACAACTAATGTCTTCCATATAAATGTTTTACCTATTCCACCCTGCCCATAAACAAAAAACACACCACTTCTGTTGTTTTCAACAGTTGTCATGATATCGTCATAAACACCTGTTTGCTCATTTGTTAAAGCAGTTAGAAGCTCCTAAAACTCATCACGTAGATTACCTATGCTATAATCTAGATCCTTCGTAATAAAACGATTGTTTGAAGATTCAAGAGAATCATTATCAGGGTAAGGCATAGTGGGGAGTTTTCTTAGGCTGGAATTGTTACGAAGTAAAATCTTCTCAATTTCAAACAATGTCAGGTTCTTCACTTGTTCTTCATTGAGAGATAAATCTGTAAAAACTATAATGTAAATGTAAACAATCATTACATAAAAATTAAAACAAAAAAACAATTTAAGAAAGAACATAATAGTTAACAAATACAAAAACAATAAATTATTTAGTATTTATATAATAACTATATAAATCTATACTTATAATATATAATTAGCATACCTAGAGACTTTAATGCAATTCGTTGATTGTAAAGAATGCCATCTGCTAAGTATTGTCATGTTTTTTGTCAAACAACCTTAGGTCTAGATAGACTGTTTGAAATCAACATGGTTGCAAATAAGAAGCGTAAATAAAAACCAGATCCGGTTAAATTTGCTTCTTCAATGGCATCAATATATTTCTTGTCATCATCTAAAAGCCCAAGAGCATAACATGCATCTCTAAAAGTAGGAAATATATTTCCATTTACTGTACGAATGTCTTCGAATGATTTAGGACTTTTCACTTTATTCAAAAGAATTCTTAAATAATATGTTTCTCCTAGAGTAGGCGAAACTGAATGAATTCGTCCAATTGAGAAGCCTTTTTCCCTTCGATCCCAACGTCGCTCTTCCAATTTCCACACAAACTTTGTAGGGATTTCAACGTAAGTGAGTGTCCGTGCTTCTTGATAAATTTTATTACAATTCATTCAAGCTAAGAACATTGAAGATGCCACAGATGGTCTGTTTATGACATTTTCAATATCATCTTCAGCACCAAATACCACTTGTTGTTCAGGAAGATGGAAAGGAAGTCTCAAACCAGAAGGAGTCCTATAATGAACATTGTACCCAAAAATACGCCATGAAGCTTCACATGCAGATACATATCTACGGTCATAATATTCTTTTATCTCATCAACATCATTAATAGTAACCTCATCATTACTGTTTTCTACAACTGCAACAGTAGCTTTATCCGGACCTTTATTGATATATTTGAACAAATATTTGATTGTAGAAGCCTGATTGCACCACTCAACATTAATGTGTGCTTGATATCTTTTCAAGAGATATTTGTTATATGGAACGATATTTCTGTTATCTAGTTTAACACCTAAATTCTCAAAAAACTCCCATCATCTCGTCTGCGATATAAAGGATAACCATTAACATCAATGGAAGTGTGTTCAAAAAATCTTTTCAGATACTTTTTTGAACACTTTCTATCAATCATGCATGGACAATTAGTGTTCACTTCACCACAAGGTCCATGGATCATGAACTCTTTTACAAGTGAGTATAAATATGGATCTTTGTTTTTGTCTGGGATCTCAGCTGAGATAATAGGATGAACATGTTCAACAGTAAGTAGCTTGAAATCAGAGTGCATAAATAAACATAGATGACTATGAGGCAACCCACGCTTTTGAAATTCAATTGTATAAACAAATACAAAAAAGTCAAAATTTAAATTAATAAAGATAAAATCTAAGTATGAAAATTTTGGTAAAACTGTTATCATAAATTGAACATACCTGCCTGAACTTTACCGAATAATGCACTATCTTTCAACTCATTAATAAGTGCATCAAGCTTGATCTTAAATAAACGACAAAGAATATCAGGCCTGTCTTATGGATTTAGCATGGTATCTTTAAGAAATCTTTTAATTTATGGCCATTTATGATTACATGTCGTGGTTAAGAAWAAGTCTGGATATCCATACCATTTACAAAGGAACATTGCATCCAAATAATTTTACATCATGTACCAAGCACCACCGGTAAAAGAAGAAGGTAATATAACACGTTGTCCAATGTTTGAAGCATCTGACTCTCCTTGCTCTTGTACATTACGTAAATTATCGTAAGTCTCGCATCTTAAAACTTTCTGTTGCTTACGTATGTAATGCAATCTCTCACTTTCAATCATTGTATAACCATCAACGATAAATTGCTGCAGAAGCCTCCTTGCATTGACAATTAATGAAAACTGATTTACTCTATCTTGAAGTTTGAAGGCAAAGAACTTCCTCATTGTTACAATTGGTCTTTTACTTTTGCTTGAAAATGTTATCTCTCTATAAGGAATGTCAACTCTGTAATCATCTTCTCCGTATGGAAACAACAACGGATATTGAAGAGGAAGGTAGGAAGGATATAATTCACTTATTTGTTGTAGATAACCCGTTTGATGTTTTACAATGATATCTCTCTTTTCAATTGTACTACCATCATTTCCAACAATTAAAGTTGCAACCTCTGAAGCAGTTGGAAGGTTATATCTTCTTCCATCCTTTTCCCGTCTTCCAATAAGCCGTAAGTTTAGCTTCACATTAGGATTGCATTGGAAACAATATATTGCCATTCTATAAGACTTGACCAAAACATTTTGGGCATCTAGTATGTTCTTCAAATATTGTATAATCTCAACATCAAGGGAATTAGAATTTGATGTAGACTCTTCTTTTTGTTCACTAATTACATCATAAAAAATATAAAATGAAAGTAACCATTAATATAACCATATTATGGAATTCAAATAAATTTATTAAGAAGTATAAGGATTAATATAATCTCAACATCAAGGGAATCAGAATTTGATGTAGACTCTTCTTTTTGTTCACTAATTACATCATAAAATATATAAAATGAAAGTAACCATTAATATAACCATATTAGGGAATTCAAATAAATTTATTAAGAAGTATAAGGATGAATATATACCGAAAAGAATTGTGTCTATTTGAAACTTCATTCTCAGTATCATATATGTATAATTAAGAGAATTTTGGTTTGGATCCATTTGGTGCTAAAAAACTGCCCATTCTATGGTAATTTTGACCGTTAAGCCTTTATATGTATGGAGCATTACCACTATTAATGGATGAATCAACTTTCCCACCAATTGAGGTAAATGAAAACATTGAATTATAACGACGAATGTTCTTCATGAAGTACTTGCTTTTTGAATCTTCACAAAGGAAAATATTTACGTAACTATAGACATTTCTTTTTCTTTGGGATGCTCAACTTTGCCGTAAAGACAACAAAGTGAATAATTTGTTTTCATCCCACATTTTTTCCTCTAAGAGCTTCATCTCTTCCTAATTTTGCATGATAGAATTCATAGATAACCGTTTTATCATCGTGATCCAGGTACTCTGTTTAATAATATGTTTTTGAAATATTATAATAAATTGAATAATAATAATTACTTTTAATTGTGAAATAATTGATTAACCAAAGGTTTAGCTTCAGATATTCCTGCAATTCTGTTTGTAGGTTGTTGTTGATCAATTAATTCTTCATCTGATGTCACATCAATTATGGGTATATCAGATAGATTTACAGTCTTCTTTCGTAATCTATGTTGTCCTGCCGATAACTTCAACATGGAAGAAGTTTGCTCTATTGTCGATGAATTGATTGATGTCATGGCATTAGAAGACAAGGAATAGTATTTATTTACAGGAAAACTGGATGTTTCAAATATAAAATTTACGTAATTTGAAACATGTGTTAAAATACAAATTGTAATGGAGTCATTATATTAACAATGAGATGTTAAACATATTATACATACCATTGAAACTATTAGATAATGGACTTCTAATAGTTATATTTGAAGAAGAAATTTTGAATGCTTGTATGTTCATACTTACGATATGTATTTGGGTCCATATTTTCATTATGATAGCAAACATTTTTGCTCTTAGATAAAGATCTTAATCGCATTTGAGAAGTGGGGATATCACTTGTAAAAAGAAATAGAAAATGATAATGGAAAGAATTACCTTCAAGTTGTTATTTGAAGAGATAATATTTCCATTATGAAACATCATATTAAAAACTCTATTGATTGAAGTACCTTTAGTGTTTGATGACGTAGACTTCAAAGACTGTTTACCACTATTCAAAATTATCTTTCTAAGTTTTCTCCTTTCTTTAGCATCCATGGAATCTATGTTTTAGATAGATCTGTAAAAAAAAATTAATAAGAAAAGAGTAAATGAAGGCATTTGATAAGAAATCGTTAGGAACAAGAATAATAAGAAAATGGATGCAGTTAATTAGTTCTCTTAAACATACGATTATTATTGTAGTAGGAAATAGAACATGTCTGTAACGACAATAATTATATTAGAAACAGACCTTTACATCGAAGAGGCAGTTTTACAAACTGTAATGTACACGTGTTAATAGATCTATAGTAAGTAAGCTGCTTTCCAGACTTTTGTTCAGAATTGTGTACTTAGAGAACAAAATTTGCAGAGTTTGACTTCACCGATATGGTCACTAAATAACTCTGAACTATAACTCTAAATGATGTTTATTCAGACTTGTACTCTTGAAATAAGGCAGAAATGAAAGTCTAGACTTCGGACTTCGGAGTAAGAAAATAAATGACCAGGAGTAACAGTCATTAGTGTAGAGTGACTAACAATGAAATTTCTTTATTTACATTATCTTTGAATAAGAATGCAGACGTCAGACTTATTAACTCTAAAATATGCAGATATGTATCTCTGAATTGTGGTTCTTAGGAGTAAGACTTCGCAGTCTAGTTGTAAGTATGGGAAGCAAGTCTGAAGTGCAACTCTAAAGGAAAAGAGTTCAGAGTTGAGATGTAGTGGTGGAAATTAACTCTGACAAGAACTCTGAAGATTAGGAGTTCAGAGTTGTTTTCTAAGTCGTTGAAATAACTCTAAAAAATACATGATAACAAACTGTTCTTACTTTGTTGGGATTCCTAAATTCAGATTTGCAAGTCTCTTTAATTCCTAAGAGTAATGGGAACTTTGAAGAACATTTAACATATCAAATTTTTGAGTTTGAAGGATATGGGTTAGATAACAGATATTAAATTATTTAAGTGTTTTTAGAAATTTGTTAAATTTAGACTTCAAATAGTGAAGAATAGAAATCTAGAAATGAGACTATATATTTCAAGAAGAACACTGCATAGTTCAAACTAGTACATTGATCATTATCAAAACTAAGAAAAAAACCATAATTGACACTTTTAGATCTGGTAGAAATTTTGAGAATCAAGAGATTATAGCAGACTTGTAAGTTTGGAAGATAAGTGTGCAGAGCTGTTTATTAAGTCTGAGAAGTAACTCTAGATTATAAGTCTAGATAATAGATTACCAGAGTTGTGGGAGAAGTTTCTGGAGTTCAGATTTCTAAGTCTTAAGTATAGAAATCCAGAAATGAGATATGTTTGTAAAAACATATTGCATAGTTGAAGCTTCTACATTAACAATATTAGGTCTGCTAGAAACTCTGAAAACGAAGACTTTATAGCAGTATTGTAAGTTTGGAGAATAAGTCTTGAGGAGTTATTTTCTAAGTCTAGGAAATAGCTTCACATTGTAACTTTTCAAAACAGAATACCAGAGTTGTGGTATAAGTCTGTGGAGTTCAGACTTGTAAGTCTGAATAAAAGAAATCCAGAAATTTGATATGTTTGAAAAAGCATACTGCATAGTTCAAGCTTGTATATTCATTCTTACCATAACAAAGGGAAGACCATTATTTGTAACACCCCCAAACACCACATTTGCGCATAACACATATTTTATTGTATAGAGTTACAGTTTACACCACAATGGTCCAATTAGTACATGATTCTTATATGTACAAAGTTTACATATGAAAAACTCCAAAATAAAATATTGTACTATCACATGTATAACAACATG